TGTTTTTCTCGTTGCCATGTTCCCACCAATAACGTAGCTCCATTTTCTGCCTTTAAAAGCACACACAACCCACAATTCCTCTATTCGCTCCGACGAAGGGCTAACGCTCGAAACGTCAGCTTTTGTAATCGTTACGGTGGCCAATTTACCATTTCAACTTTGTTGATATATCCAAATTATTTCGTTACTCCCACCGACGCAGCCCCAAACAGTTTCTTTCGAAACTATCAGCCTTTATCAACTACTTTCCAGGTCACCATCCGATTGTATCGTGGAAGTTCCTTGATCACAGAGAATACTGGATCCTACCACATCACATCCTCAGTTAAGACGTTTGAGGTCCGTTTTTCTTCAGGGATTTCTCTTCGTGCAGGTGTAGTATACACAGCAACATCTAAACTAACCGCAAGCGGTAGTCTCACCCATGCTCACTCGGATGGAACGTCAAGTACTTCATGTTCTGGTATCACTGTTACGTTTATGAAATCTTCCAAAGATAATAATGGATCAAATGTATCCAGTGGCCAAATGTCAGCGCTGATCTTGAGTTCCAGTCCGCATTGCTAAAAGGAAATACCACAGTTCCCATTCACAATATTGATTTTGTGTATTTTTTAATCAGTTTGACTTGTTCCACCCTTTACCAGTAGAACTCAATAACTTATGTAGCAAAAACTGATAAACACATTTTATCGTTGTAGAGTATTTTAAAGGACTGCTATTTCGAGTATTTTTAGGTTTACCTTTTGTTTTGATGAGTCACGCCTTTTTGCGTCAACGTGTTATTTTGGTAAATCTATACTTTTGATCTTTTAATTTTTAGTGACGGTGTGCTTGAACTTAGCTCAGTTCTTACCGTGCGAGACATTTTAATCGCTTGTTATGATTGAAAATAATTTGTTTGCTAGGTGGTCATGTTTGGGTGGTAAAACTGACCTTGAGTTTTACCCACACTGAGATCCTGTTTTGCGCGCGTGATTTTGGATGCAGCTCGATCATTGGCGTTTAATTAGTTCTTTGGTGCTCGCCAAGTACTTCGGAGTGAGCCACCCAATTTCCCCCTTCGCACAACAACGAATACACTGCGGAAACTCTCCCGGTCTGCGAACCCAGACAGGTGTACGATTTTCCTACTTAGAGCGTTAGTTCCTCACGCTAGATATAGATGGTGATCATTATTATTAGATACATAGAGCTGCAGTAGCTCTCCAGAAGAGAATAAGGAAGAAAATTACAGAGTCTTGGTACCTTCCGTTAATTCGTCCAAGCGAGTGGTAAAAAAACCCCAAAATTAGTTTTTAGTCAGTTAAATATCTTGCAGCTAAGTATTAACAATAAAGAAAGTAGTTTCTGACGATGAGTTGCATCAACCACTGCTACTTATGTACGAGCGAGAAGCAGGGAATTGTAAGATTAAGCAAACATGCGATAATGATATGGTTAACAAACCTTGAATAAGATTGTAAGACTAACGGGATTTATTTTATGAAAACTTCATTCACGTGCAGGGTGAAGGAGTAAATCTAAATGCATGTACCTCAAAAGGCATAGCTGATGCCTGTCTAGATATCAACTATGTTGCAGCGATAGAGAAGTCATCAAAACTTGAAAACTGTGCATTGTCACAAGTCATCGACGAGCTTGCATCAGCTTACGCTATTTCTGGCAGTATGTAGTTCAGCACATGAATTTAGTTTGAATTCCACGAAGGAGTTTCTCGTAATTGTCTGGTTTCTTAGATACTATATGAACGACAAAACAGCTCGCAGAGCCACATTGCTCAGTCTATAAATTTTTTCTGATCATAATTACTTGTGGTACATAGTACTAAAGTGCTTTTTTTACTTGTAAATTTACTGTTAAGTGGCAACAGCTCTGTCGAAAATGAGGTCCACAGTCACACTACATCAATTTTTATCAATTTTGGACAATTTTGGACATCAATTTTGATCAACATGAGAAGACACAAATGGCTTACACTGTAAGCATCCCGGAGAGCTCCCCACAATTTCTTCTAATTTCATTAGAAGAAATTGTATGGAGCTTTTTCAGCGCTAGTCGAGGCGCGGCGGGTGTTGTCACGTATGATTCTTACGAGGTGTTTTTCCCGACACTCTTC